TGAGGGAGCTGGGCTTGTTCAGCCTGAAGAAGAGAAGGCTGAGAGGGGACCTAATAAATGCTTATAAATATCTGAAGGGTGGGTGTCGGGAGGATGGGGCCAAGCTCTTTTCAGTGGTGCCCAGTGACAGAACAAGGGGCAATGGGCACAAACTGAGGCACAGGATGTTCCGTCTGAACCCGAGGAAGAACTTCTTCCCTCTGAGGGTGACGGAGCCCTGGAACAGGCTGCCCAGGGAGGTTGTGGAGTCTCCTTCTCTGGAGATATTCAAGACCCGCCTGGACAAGGTCCTCTACAGCCTACTGCCTCTACAGCCTACTGTAGGTGACCCTTCTTTGGCAGGAGGGTTGGACTAGATGACCCACAGAGGTCCCTTCCAACCCCAACCATTCTGTGATTCTGTGATAACCATGTCAGTTACCAGCAGGAAATCTTAAAAGCCAGGTGAGCATTGTCAGTCTTCTAAAATGTGACCCTTTGCTGTCCTCTTCATTGTGATGATATGGTCTGTTTGTCTTAGTGTAGGTGAAAGTGCTTTTGACTCCAGCTGGAGTAATAAACTATTTTGTTGTAGTCTGTGGAAGGGTGCTCTAATGTCTGGTGTACCTTTCAATGTGCATATTCCTGGAACTTAAAAATATTGAAAGAAATTTTATTTAAAATTTATAAGAAAAATGTTATTGAAGTTTTATGCAAATTTTAGTTCTCAAGCAGCCTTTTATGTAGATAATGTTCTCAAGCTGTGAATGTTAATGGCCAAAAAATATGAGGGCAAACTATGAAAATTCTGGCATGCCTGCTAGTTTGGGTATAATTTTCATATTTATGATACAAAAGGTTGAGGGAATTACCTCTGTAGAGAGTGTTTACTTGATTTGAAAAAATAGGTTTTGATGCAGCAATGTTGGAGGACCTGATACATTACTATAAATTAGAGCCTTTAGAAATGCTACTGGGGTATTACATTGCAGATCTTGAATTAACAAGCATGGGTTTTAGATCATCAGTTGGCTTGCGGGTTTTCTTTTATTGACAGCATAATACATACTGTTCTGTGGTTGCAAGGAGGCTTGGCTGTTTCCCGCAGGGTGTCAGAAGCAAACAGTTAGAAGTCTTGCTCTTTCCAGCCGTTACCAAGCATAACTTCAATCAGCATACGCTGCTGGATTGTAATTGCAGTAGATTGTAATTTTCAGTTGTAACTGAAGTAGAGTGTTTGCTGGCGTGAAGAGTAAGCCAGAGAGGCTGCATTTAAAATTCTGTTGTAAAGAAAAAGGAGGATTTTGTGATACATATAAAAAAGAAGCAGCCATGTAGCCTTTTAGTTGTGCAAATAATAAGCATTTTATTGTAGAGGATTAAAATAATAAAAATTATGCTATGCTATCTGTAAAGGCTAATAAAAACAAATATACCAGAGAATAATTCATAACCTCAAATGTGGTTACTTTTCTTTATAATAATGTGGTTTCTGCTTTAGGACTTCTAATTCAGAGCACACTGGGAAGATCCTTGAAGATTGATGACGCATCATGTATCTCACGGATTCAAAGATGAGATCTTTATAGCTATTTTGAGTTGCAAATGGCATTTTTTATTCAGGCAGGAAGGGTAACTTCTGCTTTTTGGGAAAAAATAATTATGAAAGTACACTAAAATCTTTTAGTTCCTGTCAATATTTTGCATCTGTCCTTTTCTCTTGCAAAGACAGTGTTGGTTTGATGAGTAAGAAAACCATTAATGCTGTGCACTTTTGCCTTGTATCTGGTCTCTGCGCAGTTGTTCATAAGACCCTTTCTGTTCCTTGCTTCTCTGCCTTAGTGTGAACAGTCCCACCTAATGAGAGAGCATGAAGATGTGCAGGAGCGAACAACACTACGCTACGAGGAACGAATCACAGAGCTGCACAGTATCATTGCTGAATTAAACAAGAAAATTGATCGACTGCAGGGAACAACAATAAGGTACAGCAACTTCCTGGAAATTCTGGGCCAATGCAAGAGAGGTGTAAAACATGGTGTGAATTGTACTCTAAATATAATTTGATGGTGACTTCAAAGTAGTTAGGCTCATTGTGGCTGGTACTGAGTAGTTGCCCATAATTAAGGTGTGTGTTCTGCAGACTGTCGTCCTGAGGCTCAAAAGTGCTACATTCTTGCTGGCAAAATCACACTTAGCAAAGCCTAACCAGCACTGCAAAGAGCTGCACTGTGCCATCCAAATATTCCTTCAGTGTAACATACATGCCAGGGTACCAGATAAGTGATAGCAATGGGGGGTAAAGGAAGATGTAGCCACCCAGCCTGCACCTCTGCTTTTAACTTTATTTTGTGGCATCCTATAGATCTCCTAAGCCAAATCACTTGTGGCGAGAAATGTGCCTCAAATGGATTTCAGTAGGTTTTGCATCTACTTGTACTGGTATTTGTGACAAAACATAATGGTACAAATCACGTTGTTGCCTGTCCTTGGAGCAGCAAAGCCTGGGACATTAAACTAGGTCATTATTTGTTACTTAAATGTAAAATTTACATTTGACTACAGAAAAACATTTATTTTTCCTCATTTGCTTTTACCCGTTAGTCTGGAGAAAGTTGGACTAGAACAAGGAAGGAGCTTCTTAAACTTTAGGTTGTGAGGATGCATCTAAACTACTAGAATCTATGGATTTTCTAGAGAACATCAAATTAGATTTGACAGTCACATAGGTAATGTTGAAATGGTGCTCTACCCATGTAGCAATTTTGCAGTTTTCCTTGCCTATTAGCTGCAAGTTTTTTGATGACTGCTTCATTTGTTCTTCTTTGTAAACGCTTCTACTAGCACAAGGCAATGTTGTTACAACTACTCACTTAACCATCCATGAAAATATTTACATGCAAAAAGAAGAAGGTTTGATGTACCATAAATAACAGAAAGTATCATCATGCATATATATCACTATACAAGCAGTGACAGAATCACATTATGTTCATGTTATTTAAGAAGATAAGTACTGCCAAGTCTGAGATGATCGTAACTAGTGATGATCATCATGAGATTTTTCAGTTAAGTATTTTCTAAACTGATAGTACTTCTTCGAAAAAAGATCCCTGTGACTCCTTTGTTCAATCATGCTTGATACCTCTGCAGACAAACTTTGCATTCATATTGTTTTGACTCACTTTTCTTTTCAGCATGATACTGGATGCCCATCCTGCCCTCCTCTCTGGTAAAACTCTACCAATTGACAAAACTTATGAAAAGCAGATTTTAAGAAGCATGAGAGCTGCATTGGTATTTTTTTCTCAAATGGCAGAACAACTCTATGACATTTAAGAACAAGATTACATAGAATCCATAAAAATAGTTTGTCTGGAGTTGCTGTGGCAAGCTAAATGCCAAGTGGTGTTCAGTTACAAAATATTGGAATCTAGTGGATACTGTGAGTGTTCAGCCATGACCATAAACAAGTCAGCTGGGTCATGCACAGGAGAGTGAGGCATAAGAACCAAGCTTGATGGGAAGTGCATGCTGCTTCTCATAAAAAGCACAGTTTTGCTGCCCTTTTGCGGGGTGCAGGCTTTTGAAGGCATCAGAACAATACTGCTGCAACCATGCCACACCACGGTCATGCCCCACCTACTTGATCTTATTGTATGAGAGCTCATTTTGCTCAGACAGCTAGGATGCCTTCTCTGGTTTCGTTTGTTTTAGTGTTACTAGCAAGAACAAAAATGTTTGTTAGGTTAGTTGGCTTTTTGTTTCCTTTAATGACTGGCATAGCTTGTTTTCTTTGGCAGGTCAATAATTTGGTATCTGGGGAACAGAGGAGTAATATTCCTCCTAAAAATGGCAAGCAGAGGTAGAATTGGAGGGATTCCATAGGGTTTGTAAAGACAACTGAAAGAAGGAGAACTTCTAGTTCCTGCTGTGACTTTCTGTAAATCCACTCTGGTATCTGCTTGCGTCACTCTTGAGAAGCTGTTCCACCCCACAGAGCAAGAGTGGTGTAATTGCCATCCTTGGTGGGACAGGTGTGACTCACAGCACTCCACCCTTGGCAATGGGGACTGTGAGCCCCACAGCTGGGACAGCACAGTCCTGGGAGAAAGGGTTCTGGGAGCGCGGCCCTGCTGGGGCCTTGGCATTTATGCTTACCTCTAAAATGGAACACAGGAGGGATTTTAGTTTTTGATTTAACTCTTGGATGCCTGCAAGTAATACTGAGTGGAGGCTTTACTTGTGGTATCAGAAAATTTAGGTTGTCTTTCTGGAAACAGTTTTCTTGAGTTTACATTAACTGCATAACAGATAAATGTTTCCTTAGTGCTGACACAGAGATTTTTCAGTATTTGCGTCTATTGTTTTCAGGCTGCAAAAATAAACTAACATGTAGCTTGAGGTACTGCTGCTTTATGACATTCTTCGTGGTTCCTTCCAAAACACAAAAATATTCTGGAAACAATTAGAAGAAACCAGAGTTTTTGACTGTCCTCCTTAAGCTGTATTATCTTTAAATTTGTAGCTCTTGTCTGAATGCAAATAGTACCCTCATAAAATAGGGTAGAAAGTAAGCAGAAAGAGCGTTTAAATCTGAATAAGGTATTGCAACAGTGTTGGCAGGCTGTATAGGCTGGTTAATATTCTCCATTCCAAGAATTTTTCTCTCTTTCTTTGTTGGTGGTTTGGAGGTTTTTTTGCCCTTGTGATGTCAGGGGTTTTACACAGCTTGAAGTGTAATGGCTTTTGCTCATGTGGTTTAGTAACGCCAGCCCTAGAAGAAAGCTTAAGTCACACGTCAATGCCTGTGCCACTTCCCAGGTATATCTGATACACTGATCTCGGTAACAGTAATCTTACAGGAGTAATTTCAGAAGTTTACAGGACTGTTCTAGGCTTGCTAGCCATTTCTTGGGTACAACAAGTTCCGTGTGTTTGGCCACGTGAAGTTAGCTGCTGCTCTTGCACTATGTTCTTCCAGCATTCCCTAAGGAAAATGAGGTCACCATGGTTGTGGGAGCAAGCCATCATTCATCTGCGATTGCCTCATCTCCCTGCTGCCTCTCTGGACACCCCAGCTGGTTTGGAAGCCCAACCTCACCAAAAAAAAAGCTGAAACGCAGCTGTAACTGATTTGACAATGAAGCTAAAAAGATAGTTGCCTATACTCATACCCCGTAAGCAGGCGAGCTTCTTGCTTGCTTAGTTCATGTGTGGCACTGCAGAATTTACCCACTACCAGCTCAAGAAGGTAGCAGTTTGACACTAAAGAAGTGGTCCACTAGGATGAGGATGCTTCTTTTATTTGAGCAGTCTGGAAACATAAACCTTGGCTCTGTTTTTTCTTGGAAATTTATAAAAGTGTGACAGCATCTCACTATTCTTGTCTGTGTTATTAGGGAGAGAGTAGAAGGAGGTGGCAAGTGCAAAGCACGTTTTGTCAGCTTCTTTTAGAGTGAATAGCTGTCATGGTTTGACCCAGCAGCTTTCACTGAGTGCTGCTAGCTTGGGGCTCCTGTTAGCGTGTGCAATGGATGCTGGTAGCTGTGTTACGCCTACTTTCTGCTGTTTCAATTTGTAGAAGACAAATTTTTTGCGTTTCAGAGGTTCTCTGTATTTTTACAAGATGTATGCCTACTCCTGTTTTCTCTGTAAGTGTGTACAACTTAGAAGATAGCAAGGCCAAAAGTAGCTTCCCAATTGCAGAGTCATATTGTAAATACTTGGATATAAAGGATACACCTTATAACTCTGAGGCACAGAAAGGATTTACAAATTACGAAATAGTGTACTAAAAGGGAGTTATATCTATGTTAAAGGTGACTACTCCTGACTTCAGAAGTCTTCAATATTGCCTTAGATTCATTCAAACTCTATTCTTTTTTTCTTAATCATGTCTTTGGCTGGCAAAATCATCTGTAACTTGGTTGTGCAGAAACAACTTTGGCCTATGACTAACGGTCTTTTTTAGATGTCACATTGATGTTCAGCAAAGGAAAAAAGGAAGAGATCAAATTGCTTTTAGTTCTAAACCAGCGGCTGTTTGGGTACATCTGTGCAACTGTAAAAATAATAATCAACTTCTAACAATATCAAACAGAAATATACTCCGTTGAATATTGGTGCCTGCTAAGGATTATTTAAAACAGTTGTCAGGAACCTAGTAACCCATTGCTATAAAACCGTTTGTTCAGACTTACAACTTTTAATCTGAAATACATTCAAACAGCTTCACAAGAAATAACACATGGCACTTATAGTCATATTTACACAGTGACCTGGAGGTCTCATTCTAGCTTCTACGTATTTGCTAGGTGGAAGCTGCTAGGATTCAATTCAAATGGCAGCATGGGTGTGATAGTGTTGGCTTCAGCATACAATGCCCAGCCCCACCTGCCTTCAGTGTTTAACTCCCATGTTGTCTCAAGTCTGTCGCTATTTGTTCACCAGTGAGCTAGTTCAGAGGGACCTCAAGTCTGTGTACATAGGGAGCAGTCAATCTCTGGTTGCAGTGCACATACACCTGTAGTATTTTCTATCTGAGGGTCTCAGAACACTTGAAAAGTACTTGTTCAAGTAAAATGATTGTTGAAAATATGCTGGCACCTCAAGTGTGAAACTATGCACTGTTTGCAGCCGTGAAGAGAATGTACACCTTGCCAGCGTCCTGGCAGAACTCATCAGTGGTGTGAAAGGATGCTGAAAGTGTGCTGGTTTGCTCACTCTTTGATAAAGTTTTTCTCAGTGTCTGTACAGAAGTTTGACCCTTGGTCAAAGGGTCACCCGAACATGAGGAAAGCAATAAGTGCAAACATACCTGTAAAACACACCTTTTTAGCTCCAGCATTGATCCCAGGCCACTCTGTGTTTAGAACAGCTTGGTCTGATCTTAATTGCCTCCAACTCACCATGACATTCCAGCAACTGGGATCCATCAGGGCCTGTAGGAGAACAAATATCTGCTTTCTCTTTCCAGGCCCTAAAAGGGGGAGTTGCAATGCCTCCACCTTCTGGGTGGTGTGTCAGGAGTTCAGTGCCTAGTCATCATCAGACATTGACTGAATTGCATTTCCAGTGCCACTGGAGGACTCTTCTCCTGTTCTGGGGAAAGGGGAGTCTCAAACAGTATCTTCTTCGCCTGCTGTAGGTGACCCTGCTTCGGCAGGAGGGTTGGACTAGATGACCCACAGAGGTCCCTTCCAACCCCTACCATTCTGTGATTCTTTTACTGCCAGCTTCAGTTTTAAAGGTAGAATTTATATTTGTGGTGCATTGCTCCCCTCAGATTACCCCTTGTGTTATCAGCCCTCAGTTTGCCCCCTATGAAACTGGAAAAATCAATTGACCTTGCTGTCGCTTTACCAGAAATGGATTTTTGATCTTTCTGGTGAGGTCTTAGAAGCATTTAGTTCACGCAGAAACTGAATTCTGGCTTGAGCGATTAGAAGGGTGTGGCTCATAGCATCATAGAATCATGGTAAGGGTTGGAAGGGACCTTAGGATCATCTAGTTCCACCCCCCCTGCCATGGGCAGGGACATCTTCCACTAGACCAGGTTGCTCAGAGCTCCATCCAACCACAGCTTCTCTGGTCAACCTGTTCCAGTGCCTCTCCACCCTCATGGTGAAGAATGTCTTCCTAATACCTAATCTAAATCCGCCCTCTTTTAGTTTAGAGCTGTTCCCCCTTGTCCTATCGCTACACACCCTTGTAAAGAGCCCCTCTCCATCCTTCCTGTAGGCCCC